AACCAGAACACAATTGACTTCAAACAAAGATGAAGTCAGTTATAAAATATAACTAATCATTACACGGTTGGTGCGGTGTCTTGGTAAGTGGCTGCCGTGCAACGTGCCGTGGGTTCGATTCCCGCACGGAACAAAATTCTTTGTGTGATCCACAGATTGTTATACCGGGTATAGTCGTCATATGTATGTGAACTTGTATGTTTGTAAACGCAAACATGACACAGGAGAAAATCCTATTGTGGAGCAATATTTTTTTTAAAATAGCTCCACAATATATATACCACACGCTATAATAAACTTATAGCATACACCCATCTAAATACATACGTCACACTAGTTGGCATACATATTTGGGAAGTCAAGCAAAATGAAAATGTGTTCATTACCCCGCCATGTTCCCGTCACAGCTCACACCTCCGTCCCAAAATGATTAAAACTTTGAATTTTAGTTGCATTTCAACGGAATGCCACCGCAGAGTCGTTGTTAATGAAATTTTAAATTAATTAACTACAACTTCGCGACTCGTTGCTGAATAGTTGAAATAATAGTTTTATATTAAGTATAACTTTCAACATTTTAACTCGAATTCTATTGACTGCCTCGTTTGCCGAGTGGCAAGGGATCTTGGGTTCGATTCCCGGGACGGGCAAAGTATTACTAGGTTGTTTAAAAAAAATCAGTAGTAGCACAGAGTCTGAAATTGTGCCCGGTATATGACAATAGGCTCACTCCCTATTACATGGGACTCATAACATAAATAGTGAAAAGTGGGTGTTACATTGTACAGTGGCATTAGGTGCCGTAATGTGCACCTTAGCCTACCCCTTCGGGGAAAAAGGCGATGATGTTATGTTATGAGTTCTATTGATATTTGTCTGTTCTCTTTGTGGCTTGCCTTGGAAATGTTTCAAATTCATCAAATTACTTCGATAGCTTAGATAATTTTAACAACATATCTAGTTAAACGTAACAGTTTTCGTGATTACAATCGTTTAACTGTAGACTTTTTTATAGTTTGATGGGCCAACGTTTGACCACTATCTCGGTTGGTGGTAAGCAATGATGCGGTCTACGTCGTCCCATAAGCATCCTGTTCGTTCGGGCTTTGAAGACACCTAAGTTATACCCTATATATACCCTTCAGGAAATATATACTCTGGCAAAGAATTCCACTCATATATTAAAATTTAGGTACATATGGTTGGAAAAAAAGCCTCGGTGTATGACTGTTATGCAACGGGGTACGAAATCCATTACCGGTCCTTAAAACGTCAATGTAAATACCTCATTCTTAAATATCCTTACTATTATAAATGGGAAAGTGAGTTTGTTTGTTTGTTCCGCGTTCACGCCGTAACTACTAAACCGATTGATTTGAATTTTTGCAGACGTATAGTTAGAAGTCCGGATTAAATAATAGGGTACTTTTTATCTCGGAAAATTTTGATATTCCCGAGGGAAAACAAAAGAATTGGTATATATGGCGCTGTGTGTATTGGTATATGTCACATAGGCTACTTTTATCCTTTTGTGACGCGAGCGAAGCCGCGGGTAAAAGCTAGTAAGATAAAAACACAAGAAATTCTTTACAGATCCTCTATAATATGGCACGAAACACTCTTTCTGTTAAAATGTTTATCCATTTATTTACGACCCGAAGTAGTACAACCTCATACATATTTTTCTTTTCAATCACATGTGTTTAAACAAGAATGTCCACAAATGCGACCTTTTGTCGACCTTTAAAAGTTCACCTCACATACCAGATATTATCTGAGAATTTATATATACAAAAATATGAATTGTATAGATCAAATTAGGGTCGTTTTTAACCATTTGAAGTCAATATAGTTAGTTATATTTGGAACTTCGTTATAACACAACGGGATTCAAGTGGGGGATTAGACGCAGGGGACGACTGACGACAATGCATCGTAAATTATTACCATTTTTTTTTATTTACGTAATTGATCCCAAAAGTCAATGGCAATAATAAAAATCATAATCATCAAAGTTATTTATCTAATAGTTTATACAATTTCAGAATCAAGAGAACGTTTTAGAACAACTATCCAATTATCTAGAGTTACACAAAACCAAAGCAACTTACTATACCACCCAATGTGTCATCTTAACACCGCCCAACAAAGCAATACCCACCCTACACCAACACATTAAAGTCTATTTTTAAACAGGGTGACTTTCAGCGATATCTTGGCAAATATTTACTGGACCGTCAAAAGGGAACGGTACGACTAATGGCGTAGACGTAGCTCTTGTCCGCTCATTAGAACCACTCGTCGAGTTCCTAGTGTCCCGTTTACGCCTTTGTAACATTTTGAAGAATTTAAGACACCCTTATACGTTCCTTTTGAAGAAAAAGGGAGGAATGTCCGGTGAAGGAAATGATGGATGGTTTCTAAGACGAAGCAAGAAAATTGGGGAAGTTTTTTGTCTCCTGCCAGACCCATTAGGTTCTTTTACGTCGTGTCTTAGTTAGACAGACAGTAAAATGGTCTGTGACAGTTTTGTGTTAGTTGAGCTACATTATTGCAATAGTAAAACTGTTTTGTCTCTTTGTACGTACTTACTACATGTTGAACAAATTGAAAACAAAAACAAAATATGAGTTTGAAATGTTTGGTTGAACCGAGTCTTCTAAATCTGTAACAATGGTCAGCAAACAAAATTCTTAGTAATAATATAGGCAACAAGATAATAGTTTTTTGTTTATGTAAACACAGACCGAAGTGTGGGAGAGCCATGCTTGGTATAAATGGGCCAGATCGACTAGAGTGATACCACGGCCATGCAGAAAACCGATGTGAAACAGCACTTACGTTGTATTTCGTCGTATGAGTGAGGTTACCGAAGGCCTCATTACCCCTTTCTCAATATCTACAATCCGCGAATCTCCAAAAATCCTCAAATTCCTAATCCCCAAAAGGCCGGTAAGGCACTTGTAACGCCTCTGGTATCCATCATGTGATGCGTCTGCTCGTTTACCGACGTATCTCGTAATGAGAAAACACCTGTTACCTTTATTTTGTACAGTACTTACATATAAATAATATCACAAACACCTTTAGCTTGGCTTTCATATATTTTCAGGCCCTTGTCGACAAAAATTCATTGCCTTTAGAAGTTGATAAAACGGTTTTTGTCAAACATTTTTGCTACACAATACTTCGTTTGTGAAATTGAATCTTACACATTGACGCCATTAGCTTATATGAAGGTTTTCTCAAGAAGATTGTAATCTGACTTTTTGAGTACTAAATTATGATTATGTTTGTTTTAGGTAAAGAATGGTTTTGTTCTTTCCCCTCTATACACCCATACAGATAAATAACACTGAAATATCTGTTTGTAATAATATTGAAATAACTACCTTTTACTACATGTATATGTATATACGATACATATTATACTAAAATAACATTTTTAATATTCTGTCTGTGTGTCTGTTTGTAATGGCTAATCTTTGAAATGGCTGGATCTATTTTGACGGGACTTTTACTGGCAGGTAGCTGATGTACTAAGGAGTAACATAAGCTATTTTTGTTTTGGGAAATTGGAAACAAAAAAAGGTTACAATCCCGGATCGGGCAAAGTCTGGAATTGTGCCCGGTATATGGCAATATGCTCACCCCCTATTACATGGGACTGACAACATAAATAGTGAAAAGTGAGTGTTACATTGTACAGTGTCAGAATGTGCACCTCTGCCTACCCCTTCGGGGATAAAAGGCGTGATATTATGTTATGTTATTTGATATGATAAGATGTCAATAAAACACATATTCGATCAGCCAGTTAAATAACAAGTTACAAAAATATTTTTTATTGAGGCTATTGAATAATTATTTAAAAGAAGTAAACAAACTCCAGTACAAAATGATCCACTCATCTCGAACTCAATTCAGACATCATTAAAGCAATACAATTAAAGCAACAGAAATTAATGATATTAATTGCTTCGTTAGTGATGATAAGTCAAAGTGCAAACGATACTCAATCATAAAATGATATACACAATACCTCTTTTTGTATGGCTTTCATGTAACTCGATATATAAAGTTTAATGATAATTGGAATTACTCTAATGATTCAATAAAGCAAGCCAAGTAAAAAAAAACATATATGAAAACGTTGCCCCACATTAGGATTTTCTCCTGTATCGTGGGTGCGTTTACAAACATACAAGTTCACATACACAATGACACCCAGACCCGGAAAAACAATTTGTGGATCACACAAAGTGTTGTTCCGTGCGGGAATCGTACCCGCGACACGTTGCACGGCAGCCGGTTGCCCAGCCACCGCACCAACCGTGCAGTCAAAGTGACCTAATCATTGTTGATCCTCAATAGTATGCTGGACGGTGAAGTCTGTTATCCGTGGTACTAAACTAAGTACCTCATAGTAGAAAATAGAACAAGATAAACAAAGAAAACCAAAGGATTGAGTTTCCATGTATGTAGATATGATTGAACAGATGAATGATTTGAAACGAACCTTATCAGTAAGGGTGAACTGAAGTATGAATCATTTTTTTACTATGGGAAAAGCCGGTAAACGAGCAAACGGATCACCTAATGGTAAGCAATCAGCCTTGCCCATGGACACCTGAAACACCAGGGGCGTTATAAGTGCGTTACCATCATCATCATCATCATCAACAGCTTATAAATGCCCACTGCTGAGCAAAGCCTCTTCTCACACGGAGAAGGTTAGAGCATTAATCACCACGCTTGCTCAATGCGGGTTGGCGATTTCAATCTTATAATTAAAAATTATAAGTCCAGGTTTCCTCACGATGTTTTTCCTTCACCGTTTGTCAGTGGTGTCTAAGTAATCATAGAAAGTACATATAACTCGGAAAAAGTCAGATTGGTACTTGCCGTTGGTAGGTTTCGAACCCGCACCCTCATGCATAAGAAGTGGGCGTCTTAAACCTCCGGGCCACCACGACACTTTTACGTGCGTTACCAGCCTTTTGGGAATTGAGATTGTAGGGGATTCAGGAATTGAGGAAACTGGGGAGGGGGGATAATTGGACCTCCGATAACCTCTTTACCTCACTCACATGACAAAACACAACGCAAGTGTTGTTTCAAGTCTGTTTTCTGTGAGGCCGTGGTATCATTCAGGTTGAGTCAACCCAATCGTGCCGAAGCATAGCTCTCCCACACTTAGCTTATCTATTGTGATGTGCCATAAGTGTCTTTATGTAATAGAATTAATTATAATAAGAATCTAATGCTTAAACGAAAAAGGGTTTAACATACATATAAAACGATAATAATATTTCTATATTAGTGACAACTTCTGTTCTCCAATACAGACACACATCAAAGTACCCCCAAACTGTAACACTTTAATGCATTATCATCCTTACACTTTTATAATAAAGTAGAAAATATACTATCACAGTACGGATAACTTTTATGTGCTTCGATATAGTACTCACATACAAAGTTTGACCATTAGAATGTTCTACGCAAATGAGTAAATTCTTGAACGAACGATTCTAGAACACTTCAAGTATGAAACCAGAGGGCTTAGTACTAGTTTCTTTTACGTTTAATGAGGTCGAAACGAGACTGCGTTTGACGTTCTGATTGGTCATTCATTGGAATCGGCCAATCAGAGCGCCGTACGCCGTACAAACGAGACATCGTTTGTACTATGCCCTCAGTATCGGGAGCGAGGTAAACGATATAGTTACAATGTATTTGAAACTGCTATTAATGTGCACTGAAAACTGAACTTATCATAACGTTTAACTAGCTCTCGTATTCTTGTTGGTAGGGTTGTCATAATGTTTAACATTATTTCGTTCATTTATTTGTATTTTTTGCTAAGTAGTTAATAATATCACGGAGTCTGGAAATGTGCCCGATATATGGCAATAGGCCGTACTATTTAGATAAATTATGAAATCAATCAAATTGTGCAATAATAAATTATTACTTTATTGTAAATCGAAATCCAAACCGATTTATCGAATAATTGTAACTGGAATATTATTAATTGATACGTAATTTGTTGTTATAGCAGACTTCCACTAATCACATTACCTATCTACTTACACATAACTACATGAATATTACGTTTGTAAATGTTTCGTATTATAATTGGTTTTGAACATAATTATCACAATTTTGAACGTTCGGTTATTCTGAATACAATTTTTCTCGTTAACTAAAAATCGCGGGTTATTCACGTAAAAATACTGAGAAAAGCTCTACTAGTTTTGAATCACACAGGGGTTGTCCCTCATGAGCAGCGTGCGCGGTCGTAGCGATGTCGCGCAGCCTACTACTCGTGTCTGTGAGTAACCCGCGATTTTTAGTTAATTTAGTATGTCTTACGATAGTTATTGCAAATTTTTTCTCAAAGTAACAGAGAAGAAAAAATTTCTAGTTTTTCTGCCGACAGGATGAAAATTCCTCTCTAAAAAGTCTCTTTTTAAATATGTATGTAGATGTACGGAACCACAAACCTAACATATATTAATCTGAGATCCAAGATCCACCTTGAAACTTAAGATCTAAAAAACTTAACTGCAAAAAAATCTATAAGGTTGAAAGTAGCATAGCAAGCTTAAGAAATTGTTAAGCTAACTGTATAGGTACGGAAATCCGCATCCGTACCAATTTAAACTCTATTGTGCTGTGCAGAGTACGACTACACGAAGTTTTAGACTATAGTAACGGACTAGGGAACTATTTTTGAAAATGATTGATGGATTTATACTGAAATGATGAAGTAGGTGACAAAGATGGATGAATAGCTACTGGGTCAATACCCAGTAGGTCCAATGACCAGATACATAGCGAAGTAGAATATCATGTCTATAGGATTATGAGACAAGATGCTCCAAGAAGTAAAAATGACTTAGATACCTACTTCAATTTATCATTTATACTGATAAATCACATCACAGATTTACACTGGAAAATCTCTTTTCAAGAGCAGATAGTCAGCCCAAAACTTAATTAAAAATAATTCTCTAAAGGCAAAATATCAGTTACCTCTGTGAATTAGATATTAGTAGCTAGACCAAAATAAGTGTGGGAGAGCCATGCTCCGGCACAATTGGGTCGACTCTACCGGAGTGATACCAAGGCCTCACAGAAAACCGACGTAAAGCAACGTGTGGGTAAGGTTACCAGAGACCTAATTACCCCCTCCCCTTCTCCAACCTCACCAATCCCTGAATTCCCAACGATCCTCAAACTCCTAATCCCCAAAAGGCTGGTAACGAACTTGTAACGCCTCTGGTGTTCCAGGTGTCCATGGGCGAAACCGATTGCTTACCATCAGGTGATCCATCGGCTCGTTTACTGGCTTATGCCATAAAAAATAAATGGTCTTTATAAAAGTTAACTAAGAATGTCCCAAAACAAAGACATATCTTCATTTACCAAATGTCTTCAACAAGCCCAAAAGTGTTAATCTACTTCCTCCATTCGTATAGAGAAAGTAGTTCAGTGTCACATTCAACTTAGTTCCTAGTACGCCTACATCTGTCTACTAAAGTCCCATTACCTTACTATACCAGCACCCTTATCTGGTTCAAACTCAGAGCCAAAGTTAGCTCAACTTGCACTGAATACTACATTAAACTAACTTTAAGTGCCTATCTCGTGGATCGGACTCCGTCGAATAAGTTTATGATTTATGGCAATACTAAATTTTATATAAAAATGGATATTGAAGAGTTTATGTTCTTTCCTGACCTCAGAGTGGATTCCATAGGTTTTATTTTGTGGAAAATTTTGATTTAAATTTTTGGAAGGCATTATGTAAGCATATATGTATGTACATACATAGCACATGAAAACTTTGATACCATGAATTAAAAATGAAAAAGTCCTAATCTACAACAGGCTGGTAACGCACTTGTGGTGTTTCAGGTGTCCATGGACGGCGCACATTGCTTAGCATCAGGTGATACGTCTGCTCGTTTACCGGCTTATTCCATAAAAAAACTCTTTAATTAGAGTTCTTACAAACCAAATTCTAAATACATTATATTGATATAGTTACTCTAAATCACAATATTAAATTAGATTTTCTTGACACAGCAAGGTGAAGTAACCTTAAAGTGACATACCTATTTCATTGGCGATTTCAACATTTTCAAAGTCATTTTATTAGCGATTCTTATTTCAGACCATTAACTGTTGATAAAAGACCTAAAAGCCTCAGTAATATTAGCTTTGCACTTAAAATATACGCCTAACACATAATACACCTGTGTTCCAGCTATTCCCCACTTTGGAAGTAACTCGTATGTTGCAAAGTTTATACAGAACGATATTTCCTACTGCTTTATGGCTTCAAGTCGCCAAAGTTTTCGTGCATCATAGAAATTGCCTTTTTAAGTGGATCGCATTTTTCACTTCTTTATCTTTTTCCTTGTTTGTTTATTTATGTTGTTGCAAATTGATGTTGAACGTGGCTTAAATAAACAAGGCAGTGATTTATTATGTCGTCGCTTTTATTTTAATTTGAATAAATGTAAAATTTATAGTATTCACTAATTTAAAAACAAAAATATTGATCGCTCAGTGAATTCATGTACATTTTTATTTAAAGCTTAAGTATTTGCAATTTCATGGTACTTTAACTAGTCTTTGCAATGTCAAACTGTTATAGCAGCCTGAAATTCAATGTTTGCTGCAGTTCTCCGATTGAAGGCCTTGCTATCGTGACTAAACAAATTACAAATTGAACTTCACTGAGGGACCTGTCCTTCGTATCCTCACCTGCACTGACCTTCATGTATATTTATTGTACTTTTCTTTACTTCCAAGGGCTAGCACAGATGAAGGACTTTTGTATACTGAAGAAAAAAATCAATTTAGGATTGTAACAAACATTCACTGTTAACGTGGCTGAACTGCATCTAGGCCCAGGCTATTGATATCAATACCCTTGGCCTTTTTGAATAAATTATTTAGGCTATTACGGAACTTTCATTTGAAAAATCGAAGTGAACTCGATCGCCGACCGCCATGTTGTGAGAATAATTTCGACCCACGGCGGGCGCGATCGCGCTCACTTCGGAAGTTCAAATTAAAAGTTACAGAATGACCGAGCTGGTTGCCGGGGCTCCGGCTCGAAGAGCAGGAATAGGAACGGGGTTTTTAGTCAGCAAGAATCTGCCACTCCCTCTCGCCTAACCCAAGGCGGGAGAAATCAAAGGATGATTTTCCAAAAAAAAGCTGGTCACGCAACTATCAGGGTACATATTTCAATTGATCTTGGTTGCATAATCTGTCGGTTGTCCAACTACCAACCTAAGTATTTTTTCTGTAGACACTATGGTTACACTGTACGACATAACAGGCATTTTTTTTTCAGGGCGTAAATCGTCGAATGACTTCACCTGCCTGGGTGAAGCGGGAAGGAGTGCCAGACTCTTACTGACTAAAAACCACCCCGTTCATACTCCTGTTCTTCGAGTTGGAGTCTCGGCAACCTTTAACGTTCTCCACGGCTGCGAGCAGGCATAAACTGGACACAATATCCCAAACCCAATAAAATGCGAGCCTTATCATAACATCTGAGGTCAACAACACTACAACTTATGCTGATAGCGTGATTTTTCGACTTAATCATTCCCATTGCGATTAACGAGTTCAATCAATCTTTTACTTTAATTTGCTAATGTACTCTTGAAACCATACGTGTGTGGGTATAATTAGTTACGCTTTTAATACGTTTCTGTAGTCATTACAATTAGTTTTCTTTTTCTAATAATAGTAATTTAGTTTTTGTTTTGTTAGTTATTTTTAGTTTCGTGATTTATTTATGCCATGGTATAGGTACCTATTCCTAAAAAGCAAATAGGAAACGTATTTTAACCGACTTCAAAAAAGGAGATTCTCTGTTAGACCTGTACTGTATGTATGTATGTTTGTGCGCAATTATCTCGCAATTGTTTGAACCTATTTTGATGCGGTTTTCAGAAAAGTGTTTGTTACGTTAAAGAGAAGGTTAGGTTCAAGAAAATTTAGAATTTTCTTTTA